CGGGGCAGGTAGCAGCTTGGGGGAAACAGCCAGCTCTTCCTCTACCTTCATCCCCAGGGCCTAGTACATCCCCCAGCACACAGGAGATGCTGAGTAAATATGTATTGAGAGGAGAACAACATTAATAACAACACAATGGTTGTTATCTTTTAAGCACTTGTTGTGTGTCCCTATAACCCTACAAGCACCCTCTGAGGTAGGCACTGACATTTCCATTCTGGAGGGACCTCAAGGCTGGAGAGGGGCTCTGGCAGAACTAAGTTCAGATCTTCCCACTCTGTTCTAGCCCTAAAATTGGGAGAATGGAATAGGAGAATGAGGAGTTCAGGACATCCAGCCCTGAAAGAGGGGACCAGGTCAGTGCCCTAAAACCAAGGGTTCCAAGCAGTGTTCCCTGGGCCTCCCCACGTGCCTGGGAGCAGAGGCCTGAAGCTTCTGCCACAAGACACACATTGCTGGAAATCAGGGTGCTGGGGCCAGGCCAGCATTTGCCTTCTCCCCCACGTCTCGGCAAAGCCACTCGAGAGTCTCTCATCCCCCAGCAGGAAAAGCATATGTTCTTTCCATATAGAGGAGAAATTGTTCCACCAGTGAGTAAGCCTCTTGGCTGCAGTGCCTGGCCCAGCCCGCAGAACACTGGACAGGAAGCTGGACTTCGCTGGTTACCACTCTTGGAACTGGGACAGGGCTGGCTGACACCCTCGGAGACAACAATGGGCCTTCGGATGGGCTGGGGGACAGTGGGGAGGCAGGGGCTGGGATGTGCCCGGAGACATTTAGCAGTTCAGGGTAGGAGGAGCACGAGTACACCCCTGAATAGAAGCACTTTTCTCCATTCTGGCTGAGATGGGCTGGAAGCGGGGAGGGACAAGGGGACTGAGAGGGGTGGGGCAGCCTTTCCAGTCCCGTCACTGGGTCAGCCCAGGAGTCTGGGTCTGAGTCACAGGTGACTCAGGTGTGCTCAGCAAGGTGGGGCCGGTTTTCAGACTGTTATTTCCAGCTACCCAAAAAGTCTATTTGATGCCTGCACAGTCAGCAGGCGGTGACTCTTGTCCCTGGCACCTTCGTTCATCCCGCCAGTGCCGCAGGTCTTTCCAGCAGCCTCGGCTGGATGGTGCATGCTGCTCTTTCCCTCAGCTCACCTGGGTCCTGCTTCTCTCTCCACCTTTTCCCCATTTGTTAAGGACCCACTGAGAGGGGGGCTTGGGGAGTGTGGGGAGAGAAGGGACAAGGAAGCCAGGGTGTAGGAATGGGTAGGGGGCTGGCTGGTGGGGGGTAGAGGAGAAATCGGGAGGGGCTTCACATAAAAGGAAAACATTGAGAAATTGAGTACATTTAACCTGGAAAGTCAAAGACTCAAGGGAGAGGATGGTGACATGAAAAGCATTTGAAGATGTGTCACAGGTCACCCCATTAAAGTGGGATTGCATTTCTTGTGGGTGTGAGCTTAAGGGGGACAAACCTTGCTATACATAAATCCCGGGCCTGCACCCTCTGAGAAGTGCTTTTGAGAAGTTGATTTTCTGTCTTTGGACACATCCAGGACAAGGGTAGATGCCTCCCAGTCAGAAAGAGTCAGGAGGTGGACTGGAGTTTAGGTCTCAAACTGGTGGCCTGTGGGCCAGACGCAGCCCTTACCATGTGCACAATGGCCAGCACTTGTGCATGGCCACAGCAAGCTGGGGCTGAGTGGCAACTGCCTGCTCCGGCAAGGCACACACTCCCTGTTCCCCACAGCACAGCTGGTCTGGTTCAGTCATTCATTTTTCAGGACTGGCCCTTGAGGCATTTTCATCTGTGACCCTTGGAGTAGAGGCCCGGAATATACCCACCTTTCTCCCTCTCTAGTTGCACCCTGTAGGCTCAGCTGGGCCGGCTGCAGAAGGAGGAAGCAGTACCTACTAAGACGCAGGCTCTCCCGTGGGCTCAGGGAACACCAGATAGCCTGAGCTGCCTGCCCTGACTGGAACCCCAGATAGGGCTGCCCATGGGCTAGACATTACCATCTCAATAAACATCGCCTTCCTTTCTCCCATCCTCAAACCTCATCGGAATAAACCCCACATTTGCAGGCATCAACTCCAAATGTGTTGAGGAGTCTAGAGGGGCAGCCCCAAGGCAGCTCTTGATTTTTATATCAGTAGTGATGGATGCTGTTTATGGGCCCCTGCCCCTCCTGCCCCCGCCTCCCGCCCAGTGCTGGGCACCTTACATACAGACTCTCAATCTTCTTTTCAGCCCTGCGCGGCAGGAAAGCCCACACAGTGGCTGGGAATACTGAGTGTCACAGAAGTAAGACACTCGTCTGCCATGACTCAAGCCGGATCCTCAGCCCAGGTCAGCTGACTCTAAAGCTGGTGCACTTTCTAGAGCGCTCATTGCCTGTGTTTTACGTGACTGCGGCACCTGCTGCTCTCTGGGGTCCTGCCTGCCTGGGAGTGGGGGTGATGGGCACCTCCCCAGTTTTCTTTCCCCCCAGGGCATCTAAGCAAATCGGGCTGGAGATTCCCTTTGAAATGCTCTGCCTTCAGGAAAACTGATTTGTGTCTCCTATCAAGGAAGCCTGAAGCCATGGACAGAACCTTGGGCCGGGAGTCAGAAAGCCTGGGCTCACCTCCCAGGCCAGGATGCATCATGCTCCAGCCCCTCTCTGAGCCTTAGCATCTGTGGCTGACTGAAGACTGCCTAGAGGATCCCTGGAGCAGCCCCCTAGGCATTTTTGAAGACACTGTCCCTCACACCACATCCCAAAATGTTCATTATGCAGGTTCTGCCTTCGAAGCTTTCGGGAGGACAGACGGCCCAAGGCCACCACCTGGTGGCCAATCACAGCCAGACAAGGCCAATGCACCCAGCAGCCTTGAAGGCACATAAGAAATCATAAAGCTGCAGAGGGCTGGGTCATCACCTTGAAACTCTGGGGACAGGGTGGGAGAGAACCCTGTGAGAGCAGATTGCATCTCTCCCTTCTTCCAGACATGGGAGGGGGCCCTCCAGCTTCCCAGAGGTCAATGGCTCAGATGGGAGGCATTGCCATCCTAGGACAGCTGAGAGGAAAAAAACACTTGAGTTTGGGGATCGGGCAGGTCTGGATTGGAATCTCTTGGGTTCTTAACCTTGTTCGAGTCCCTCTTCTGTGCAGGGGGCTATTTGGGACCCATCTTGCCGGGCTGTGGACCTCTCTGCCTGAACAGGGAGCCAAGGGAGGTGGCATGGGGAGAGGCTGGACCTGTGACTGAGTGCACCTTGGTGGCGCCCAGCCCTGCGGCCAACTCTCAACTGTGGCTGCACATCCTAACACCTGATGCTTAGGCAGTGCTTCTCTCAAAGCATGGTCCCCGGGCCAGCAGCAGCAGCAGCAGCAGCAACAGCAGTGGGGAACTTGTTAGAATGGGGAACTTGCACATTCTCAAGCTCCACTGCAACCCACTGGGTCTCAAACGCTGGGGGTGAACCCAGCATCTGCCAGGTGATGCAGATGCTCACTGTAGTGTCAGAGGACCATGCTCAGGTGCTGGGATGGCTGAGAAAGCACCGCAGGTGACTCAAGTACCCTAGGACCAGAATCACCTGTGGAGGTTAAAAAAAGGAACAGCTTGGCCAGGTGCGGTGGCTCATGCCTGTAATCCCAGCACTTTGGGAGGCTGAGGTGGGTGGATCACTTGAGGTCAGGAGTTTGAGACCAGACTGGCCAACATGGAGAAACCCCATCTTTACTAAAAATATAAAAATTAGCTGGGTGTGATGGTGCATGCCTGTAATCCCAGCTACTTGGGAGGCTGAGACAGGAGAATCACTTGGACCCGGGAGGTGGAGGTTGCAGTGAGCCAAGATCCAGTCACTGTACTCCAGCCTGGGTGACAGAGTGAGACTCCATCTCAAAAACAAAAACCAAACCAAACCAAAACAAAACAAAACAAAAAAAAGTTGCTTGGACACCATTCCAGTGATTTTTATTTAGTGTAAGCACTAAACTACTAATTATTATGAAAATAACAAGAATTCTGCAGTTGATTTCTGGTCCAGACCCCTCCTCCCCGTACAGTATGCCCTCCCCTCAGAGAGCCGAGCCCCAAAACAGAGTGCTGTGACTCTTCCTGGGGTACCCTAGATCTGCAGGCAGTCCAGGGAAGAACAATTACTTATTGACACCTGGTGGGTGCTTAAACTAGGACAGGCATGGTGCTGGGGGCTTCGTATGCAATGTCTCACAAATACCCTACGAGTTGTTAGAATTCTCATTTTACAGATAGAGAAACTGAGAAGTTCAGTGAGTCACCTTAGGTCAAACAGCTACTAAATGACAAAGACAAGATTCCAACCTACTTCTCTCTGACTCCACAGTTCATTACCTTTCCTTCCTCGTTTTACAAATAAGAGGAGGGGTGACTGGCTCAAGGTTGCTGGGGTGGCACCCTTGACATTTCCTATACCTTCACTTCAAAGTCCACAAATGCTGTGGCACCAAAATCAAGAGGAGCTGAATGCCACCCCAGGAAATAACATCACCTTTCTAGGCATAAATGCACCAGGAATAGGGCTAGAATGCAACAGCAAAGGGTGGGATTAGTAATTAAGCCACATGCTACTTAGATTCCCAAGCTGCATTTTGGACCCACAGGATTCAAGATATTAAGGAAATTGACACTTGCCCACTTCCCCAGCATAAGACTTCATTCCCTCCTAACATCACACAGAAATGGGTCCTGTCTACTGTTAACCCAGCTCGGAGAGAAGAATAAGAAGAGGACCCAGTGATGGCGTAGAGAAAATATAGAGCCACTTTACTATTAAAAATGTATTTTCCAAAAGCAAGGTAGTTGCTGTCCCAAAAAGCCGAAAGCCTCTAGTCCCTGGGGAATGGGCTGGACGGGGCTTCAGTCTGACACAGCCAGGCGGGGCAGCCCTCGGCGGGCTCGGATTCTCTGGGAGATTTGGTAGAGCTCCATTGTTGCCTTCGCATCTTCCACCGAGCTGTGTCCAAGCAGGCTGTTCTGCAGACACAAGTATAGAGTGGGGACTTGGGATGAAGCTGAATTCAGAGGCCCCACGATGGGGTCTTCCCTGGTCACATCCCGATTTCCAGAGTCCCCAGGTGGGTCAGTGGGTGAGAGTCTCTTGAGGTCTCTGACACTCTGGACTTAGGAGATTCAGCAGGTGGCTGGAGCTGGCCTGCCTTCAGCCCTCGGGCCAGTGGCACAAAATCCAGCCTCCTGGGAACCAGGCTGTGCCTTCAAGTCACCTGCAGTCCCGCAAGGTAAGTAGAGGCTGCAGACTTGCTGTCAGACACACACAGTGGCTCCAGCAGCTCTAACAAGGAGCTTCAGGACACCGAGGAGGGAGTGAGGAACTCCAGCTAGGGACACGGGGAAGGGCTGCTCAGAGAGAACACAAGGACATCAATAAATGGAAAGGAAAGGCTGCAAGCATTTAGGAGGCAGGGAGAGCATGTGCAGCTAAAATAAGAGACCTGAGAGGGTGGGGGCAGGGGGTGTGTGAAAGATGGTGTGGGGACAGTTGGTGGGCCTGGATTTATCACTGAAGGCCTTGAATGCCGAAGTCGGGAGCCTAGACTTTATGGGGTAGTGCTATGGGAGTCAGGGGGCCCTCAGTCCATTCAAGGGAGAAGCGATGACCATTTACCACGTCTTCCATGCATTAGGCTGAAGTTAAACCTCTGAGCTGGATACGATTATTCCCCCATTTTACTGATGATAAAACTGAGGCTCACACACAAGCCAGCCAGTTGTGGAGCTAAGATGTGGATCCTGCAGAGGCAAGTACGCTGGGCAAATCCTCACTGCAGTCACCTTTCATCTCCCTTTGCATCCCCGGCTCAGCCCTGGTGTCCTGGCTAGTACCCAGCATGGGAGTCAGCGGGCTGTTGGACCTGGCTGCATTTTCTTGGTGTCCCTCTGTCGAGAGAGGCCATCCTGTTCTCACAGGGGCTCCTTTTCCAGGCACTCCAGACAGGGTGTTGGGAATACCTGGTTAGGTGGCCTAGCTCAGAAAGGCTTTTTCTCGTTGCCGTTATTATGCTGTACTGTTTTATTTTTTAATGTTTATTTTTTGGCTTAGACACTCTATCATTAATCAACAAGCAGGTAGCATGGTGGTGTCGTCCGCGCTGTGCCTCTGAATACCTGCCCGTCACCATCCTTGCTTGACAGATGAGGAAACTGAGGCACAGGGAGGTTATGTGCCCTACCACTCTGTTCTATAGAGAGGGAAGCCAAGAACAGAAGAAGAATGCAGCACCAGCATCCTTTATTACCAAGTGGCGAGGTGAAGAGCCCTGGACTTGGAATCAGACAAACCCAGGCTCCAATTCCCAGCTCCCCTGCTTATAAGCTCTGTGACCGTGGGCAAGCCACTTTTCCTCTCTGGGCCTCTGTTTCCTCTTCTGTGAAATGGGCCTGATTATACCTGCCTTAGAGGATAGAATGAGAGATGCCAAGTGCCCAGCATCCTCCACAGGGCTTGGTAAATGGCAGGGTCCTTCCTTTCCTATGCAGCCTAGTCTACCATGCACGCAACTTGGCGGGGAGCCACAGGCCTGCCATTTCACCCCCTCGAGGGGCAGTAACACCACTGCCCAACTGTGACAGCTCTACCATGTTAGCTCCTTGTGTCCTGTGGGTCAGTTCTAGTCACAGTGATCAGTAGCACCACTGTCCATGTGAGGGGGGCTGGAGAGCTGGTTTCTAGGGGCATCAGTGCAGGCAGGAACTGCCTGGTGGGGTACTGAGCTTCTGGAACAACCAGGCTTAATAAGCCCAGGGACAGAGCCTAGGAGAAGGCCCTGGGTCAGGCTCAAGGCCCCAGACTGAGAACCACAGAGTGACAAGGGCTCCAGGAAAACCCCAGCCTGGCCCTTATGTGCCTCACGTGCCTCAAGGCTAACAGGCCCAGACTCAGGCCTGTTCCCTGCTCCGGACGTGGTTCCTGAAGTTCTTACCAGCAGGCGAGGGGCGGGCTCCATGCTCCCCAGCCCCTCACCCAGCCTCAGGCTTTGGCTCACCCGGCCCCACTCCGTATGCCTTCTGCCCTCCTTGACTAAGACCCTCCAGGCTCTGTTCAGATCTGGTCTCCTGCCCTGCCAGCCCCATCCTTCATCCTGCTCCCAGGGCACTGCCTTTCCCTCCATCAGATACTCCCTACCATGTGTGCTGATGACCTGGTTAAGGGCCACCTCCCAACCAACCAAGAGCTCAAGGACAGAGACGGGTCTTGCTCACCATGTGTCTCTAGGATCTGGCCTAAAGCATGGAGCAGGTGTTTAACAAAGAGCCGTTGACCTGAAGGGTCCCTTTGTGCAGCCCTGGCTCTTAGTGTCTGGCCCCTCTCCCTCTGCCCTTCCCACAGGGTAAACTCCCAACGCCCCACATCTGCATGCCTTTTCCTGCCGGCTTTGCCCACCAGCCAGGAGTGCTGTGGAATCAGTGCCCAGAAGCAGCAGCAGCTGGAGGTTGATGGGAACTGGTGTACAAATATACCAGTTCCCTGGCTCCTGCTGTGAGACACATCCGAGGTGAGGTGTGTGTTTTACACCATTGCTCAGAGTTCTATGGTGGGAGCAAGCTTCACTTCCCACAGGGTGACTGGCTTGATTTCAACAACAAAAGCAAACCTTTGTTGGGTGTTTCTCCTTCCCTGCCCTCATCCTCACTCTACCAGCCCAGGGACCAGGGACAGCAGGACCTACCATCAATGCCTCGGGCAGGCTGCCAAGGTGTGCGAGGGCATGAGGGAGGAGGAAGAAGGGGAGGGGACAGGGAGGGAGAAGGGGAAGAAGGGGAGGAGAGCGAGGAGGTGGGGGAGGGGGAGGAGGGCAAAGGGGGAGGGTGAGGAGTAAAAGGAGGAGGGGAAGGAGGAAGAGACAGGTGAGGAGGAGGGCAAGGAGACGAGAGGGAGGAGGGGGAAGACGAGGGGGAGGAGAGGGAAGAGGGGGAGAAGGACAAGGAGGTTCTCACCTGGATGCTCTTGTGCAGGAGGCGCTCACTCAGCACCCGCAGGGAGACACGTCTGCAGTGGTCCAGCTTGGCCTCACGCCACAGCAGCATGTCGGTGGACGTGTCATAGATTGTGTAGCGGCTCATGTCCTCTTTCAGTGCCTGGAAGTCGTGCTTCAGGTCATGACCCACCACCAGCTTGCCTTTCAGGAGCTGCAGGATCTGGCCAGGAAGACATGTGCCCACCCCTACATGACCCAGCATCCTCTGGGTGGGTCTGGGGCTGGCAAGGGAGCAACCCCTCCTTGAATGGCTGTGTGACCTTGGGCAAATTACCATCCCTCCCTGGGCTTCAAATATATCATCTTTGAAAAGAAGAGATTGGACTAGGTCCCTCCTCACACTTGATAGTTTCAGTCTGTGCCAAAAGCCTACCTGGGCTCCTTCGGGAGCTGCACTGTGTAGGAGCAATGATTAGTACGTCCTGAGTATTTCCCGGGTGCCAGACATGCCTCAAAATCCATCATGCATATTATGTTGTTTAATCTTCCCAACAATTCTATTGTGGCAGGCAGAATAATGACCTCCCAAAGATGTCCACACCCTAGTCCCCAGGATCTGTGAATACATTACCCGGCAAAGAGGAATAAAAATTCCGGGCAGAATTTAGATTGCTAATCAGTGAACCTTCAAATGGGGAGATTGCCTGGCCTACCCATGTGGGCCCAACATAATCACAAGGCTCCTTACATGTGGAGGTCAGAGTGAATCCACGTGAGGAAAACAGGCTGTTGCTGGCTTTGAAGATGGAGGGAGGGGCTGTGAGTCTAGGTATTCAGGCAACCTCTAGAAGCCAGAAAGGGCAAGGAAATGGATTCTTCCCCAGAGCATCCAGAAGAAACCGAGCCCCACTGACACTGATTTTAGCCCAGTGAGACCCATGCTGAACTTGGAAACTACAGAACTGTAAGAGAATACATCTGTGTTGCTGTGAACCACTAAGTTGATGGCTTCCTTACGGCAGCCACAGAAAACTAACAGTGAGGAGGGAGCACTGCATTTAACTGAGTTTTACAAAGGAAATATCTGAAACGCAGACAAGTAACATGCCCAGGCTTACTCCGATGATTTTAAAACAAGTTTGCAAATTCCTTGATACTCTTCTTAAAAAAAGATGGAAAAAAACTCCCCTCCCTTTGCATATGGGCTGGGCTGTATGACTTCTGACTTCTGTCTGGGACAGGAATTCTATAAGAAGTCCAGCCACCAGCCAGGCATGGTGGCTCATGTCTGTAATCCCAGCACTTTGGGAGGCTGAGGCAGGCGGATCACCTGAGGCCAGGAGTTTGAGACCAGCCTGGCCAACATGGTGAGACCCTGTCTCTATTAAAAATGCAAAAACTACACGGACGCAGTGGCTAGTCCCAGTTACTCGAGAGGTTGAGGCAGGAGAATTGCTTGAACCTGGGAGGGAGATTGCAGTGAGCTGAGATTGTGCCACTGCACTCCAGCTTGGGCGACAGTGAGACTCCATCTCAAAAAAAAAAAAAAAAAAAAAAAATCTGGCCACCCCAAAGCCACCATGCTAGAGAGACCATGCGGAGAGCCACCGAGATAGTGATGTGGCCAAGGCAGGCCAGCACCAGCCACCAGACAGGTGGGTGAGCAAACCTTCCAATGGTTCCAGCCTTCAAGGTGCCTTAACTGACGGCCTGTCCTGCTGCAGGGCACCTGCCCAAATTGCAGGTGGCTGAGCGAAATAAGTATTGACATTGTTAGAAACAGTAAGTTTTGGTGTGACTTGCCAAGCACCATTTGATAACTGGGAGTCACACGGCTAGTTAGTGGCAGAGCCAGGCCTTGAAGCCAGTGGGCTGAATCCAGAGCCTGCCTGCCACTGCCACACTGAGCCAGAAGAGTGAACAACCACTCCAGGCCTCCAGCAGCCCAGAGGCCCAGCTGTGAGTGCCCCAGCCCTGCGTTCCTTGCCTCGCCTCCCACATGGACAGCCTGCTCTGCTCTGATCACACAGGCCAGTCAACTTGCTTTCACTTGACTGCCACTGGAAAGGATGGGAAGGGGACCTGAAAATAGAACAGATGCGAGCTGTATTAGGGAAAGGGGCGGCTCGTGGCTAGTTCAGGCCCACTTTGGACAGCTTTAGGACAGCCTTTGTCTCCTTCTCTGCATGCAGCCCACGATCTTAGCGTGTGCCCCAGGAAAGAGCCTTCTGGTGGCTAACACCTTCCCCACAGCCTGCTTCTCCTTCTAGATGGCCAGCGGCCTCCCAGAACATCATGTGGTCCCTTTCACACGTTCTCCCCTGGCAACCACAGAAGACTGAGGCTCAGCGAGGAGATGTGAGTTGCCCAGGGTCACGATGCGGGAAGCAGAATCTGTCCCTCCACTGTCAACAGGCAGGGTCACCGGCCTGCCCTGCCGTCCACATGGTCTGTTTGGAGGCCTTCTCTGGACAGAGCTCATGCTCAACTTAGAGGACTGGGGAGAGTGTGCTAGAGAATGAAGGGGCGCTGCTCCTGAACCACACCAGCGCTTCTCAAGCTTGAGTGCGCTAGAGGCCACCTGGGAAATGGCGATAAAACTGAGGCTTTAAAATATGACAACAGGCACACGACCTCAGAGCAGCAGCTCAAGGGAAACTGCGTAGAGGAAACTGCCTAGCACACAGCGGCGGGCAGAAATGGCACGGGGTGTGGAGAGATGTGGGTGTGTGGGCGGCCATGGGTCACGTGTCTTTTCTTGCTAACATCCTTTGTGCTCCTGAACAATGTGGCCTGTTTTCCCCTTCTAGGGGCTTGGCTCAGGCCCAGTTCACACAAAGCCCTGAAGGAACTCATCCACCATCCCAGAGGCAGCCACAGCTGGGCCCAGACATAGAAGGAACGAGTCATCGTGATGTGGATTCCCAGGAAACTCGTCACTTCCCGAGCCTGACAGTCTGGAGAGGGGAAGTGGGGGTCTACATGAGGCACTATGGGAGTCACCATGAGACAAACAGAATAAGAGGGAGAGGACAAGCCAAGGAAGGAAGAGGAAGAAGGGAAAGAACAGAACCATCTATTTAGCAGAGAGACACCACTCTTTGGGACAAAGACTCTGGGAAGGAAGAGACGCTGGAACTTGCTGTGTGACCTCAGGGATATCAAAGACCCTCTCTGGGCTTCAGTTTTCCCATTTGTAAGGTGAGGGTCCAGACTGGTGAGGCCTGAGTGGCCCTTTAGCAGCCAAGGCTAAACAGACTGAGGCAGGTCTGAAAAGGGAAGGAGTTGGGCATCTGCTGGAGTCGAGGGGTCGGCGAAAGGCACTGGCAGGCTGGCCTTGGGGCTGTGTGACCTGCTGGCCCCAGGATCTGCCCTGAGTCAGTGTCATGAGGCAAGTGTGTCAGACTTTGCCACTTTCAAACACAGGGGGAGGAGTCTCTCAAGTTCCTGGAAAGAACTGGGGTGGGGCTGGGGGATGGGACATTTACTGATCTCTTAGCAGCCTGGCACTGTGCCAGGCACTTTCCTTACCTCGTCATGAAGCTCCTCAATGAGATTATTCTTAATTCCATTTTACAGAGGAGGGAGCCCAGAATCAGAGAGATTAAGGGGCTTGCCCAAGTCACACAGCTAGTCAGCTGAAAGCTGCAGTGCTCTGTCTGGATCCACCTGACGCCATCATTGTTACTGTAGTTGTTATTATTAGCACAAGGACCAAGGGACAGGGCACTACCAGGCACACAATGATAACCCTACATACCATCTGACCCACCAGCAAAGCGGGGCACAGGGCAGCGTGCACCCAGGTCACACGCAGGGGAGTGCCAGGCCAGGTGCTGCCTGCACACACCTTCCGCTGCGTTTCCACTCTACTCCAAGTATTTCCCAGATGTGCCTGATGCAAAAATTCTGGAGGGCCAGGCCCTACACAGACTTACTAAATTGAAATCTCCAGGGAGGGGTGTCAGCAACTGTTTCAGGGGATTCTTCCCATCTAACAAGTCTGCACTGAATCCCACTGAGCAGTCCAGAGCCTGCTGCCTCTACCATGCATTCATTCATCCATCGTACATTAGTTCATATACCGATTCATTCATTCTTGACTGCCAGGAGAGGCTATGAGTAAGGGGCTCTGAAGAATGTTGTTCTTGCAGAGGACCAGGTCCCTTACTATCACCTTCTGGAGTGGCTCCAGCCCCAGTCTTTGCTCTTGTCCCCTGCCAAGCTCCCTTGGTGTCCCTGCCCCCGGCTAGTGCCTGGTTCCCACAAGGCCGCTTATCCTGGGGCAAATCTGGATATTGAAGCCTTCCTCCTTCATCTGGCTGAGCCCCAGAAAGACCTGCCAGGTGGCAGGGCCCCAACAGGACACTCCCACCTGTGCAAGGACTACCGGACTGGCTACAGCTGAAATCTCTCCCTGTTCACAAGCTACCATGACTTCCCTTCTGTCTGCATCTGGGTCCGCAACCACGGTGCTTCCCAGGCTGGATGCCCCTCCTTATGCTGGGTTGACATTAAAAAAGCATTCAGTCACAAAAGTGATTTACAAGTTACTAAAAATTACTGTTAGACTTTTTAAAAAGGAAGAAGAAAAACATTAACTCACCAGTTGGGACCCCCGAATGTCAGCAGTGATTTGTATCATAGCTTCCTGCATGTCCTTAGGCAAATCACTGCCCCTCTCTGGATGCCAGGCTCCAGTGCATAGATTCCCTCCTGTGCTGACAGTTTCATTTGTGGGGCTCTCTATAGACCGGGGTTTCTTAGCCTCAGCACTGTTGCCATGTGGGGCCAGATATTTCTTTGTTATGTGTGCGTGGCAGGGGAGGGAGCTGCCCTGGGCATTGTGAGATGTTTGGGAGCTCTCTGGTCTCTACCCACTAGATGCCGGCCACTGTGACAACCAGAAATGTCTCCCAACATTGCTAAATATCCCCTCTATATAATGGTCAGACACAAAGATGTCAGATCATAAGGCTTTACATTATAACATAATGTCGCCACATTACAATAAATAAAAAGGGATGGAGTGGGGGGCCTCCACTCACATCAGTGGCCTAAAGTGCTAGCACTCCTGGGTGGACTTGGGACTCCCTGGAGCCTCCTGACCACTATGGGCTACCTTATTGCTGGCTGCTGGCTGGGCACACTCACTACTCCTTACTGGGAGGAGATAGAGAGGTGAGGGGCCTTTGAAAAATGCCTGCATAGCCAGGCGCA